TTTCGTTGTTCCACCGTCATGTTGCGCAAGGTGGATGATGCAAGTGCAGGCTCGAGGGAAGAGAGGCAAACACCTTCATCCGATATGAGTGAGCGAAAAAGGGCGTCGGCGTCTGTGTGCTTACGACCGGATCTGCAAATAACGCGGATGCCGTATTCCTGAAGTTTGAGCGCCAAGCGAGCAAGTCGTCCGGAAGGGTCTTTAGGTGTGGATAGCCAACACAGGGCGTGGTGGTCAGTGACGACGTCGAATGCGTGACCATACAAGTAGGGGAGAAATTTTCCAAGAGCCCAAATAATAGTTAAACACTCTTTCTCGGTCACGGAGTAGTTAGCCTCGGCTTTCGTCAAAGTTCGGCTTGCATAGGCGACGACATATTCGTCAAACCCTGCCTTTCGTTGCGTGAGCACAGCGCCAAGTCCAACACCGCTGGCATCAGTATGAACATCCGTGGGAGCGGCAGGATCGTAGTGGCAGAGGATGGGTGGCGAAGTTAGCAGGCGGCGTAATTTGGTGAACGCATCGTCGCATGCTGGTGACCAGGTGGAAAAATCCTTGTCACCGCTAAGAAGGTTCGTAAGGGGCGCACATATGGAAGCAAAATTTCTAATAAAGTGTCGGAAGTATGACGACAAGCCGTCAAAACTTCTAAGTTCCTTTGAGTTCTTTGGCTTCGGAAAATCGGCGACTGCTCGAAGCTTGGCGGGGTCGGGAAGTATGCCGTCCCGCGATACGACGTGGCCAAGAATGGTGAGCTGCCGGGCACCAAAACGACACTTCTTGAGGTTAAGTTGAAGGCCGGCGTCGGTGAGGCGTGTGAGGACGTGGTCGAGACGATTTAATGGGTGTCAAAATCGGTGGAAAAGACAACTACGTCATCGAGGTAGCATAAACATGTGTTCCACTTGAGGCCTCGTAAATAGTGTCCATCATTCTTTCAAAAGTGGCTGGAGCGTTACAAAGGCCGAAAGGTATAACGGTAAATTTGTATAACCCATCAGGTGTGACAAATGCTGTTTTCGGTCGGTCAGATGCTTCCATAGGTACTTGCCAGTATCCAGACCGTAAATCCAGCGAAGAGAAGTATTCTGCTCCCTGCAAACAGTCAAGGGTGTCGTCTATTTGCGGTAATGGGCAAACGTCCTTACGGGTGATCTTGTTTAAACGTCGATAGTCCACACAGAAACAAATGGAGCCGTCCTTCTTAACAAGAACGACCGGTGACACTCAGGCACTGTTAGAAGGCTGCACAATACCCCGCTGGAGCATGTCAGCAACCTGGTCGTCCATAACACGGCGCTCCGACGCTGAGACCCTGTAGGGGCGCTGCCGTAGAGGCGTATGGCTTCCTGTGTGAATCTTGTGAGATGTTCGATGTGCGACTGAGGCCAGAAGCGTGGCTGTCAAAAGAAGTACGAAACTTTTGCAGAAGATTCACCAACTGGCTTTGTTCTGAAGAAGACGTTGCGACATCGATGGAGTGGTGGAAAGCGTCAAGGAGTGACTGGTCAACAACAGAGTCATAAATGAGTGCGCTGAGGTCCGTAGAAAGTAAACTAGATGAAGCGTCAAAAATGTGACGGGCGTCGATTGGATGCACGTGACCGAGACATTCACCATATAATAAAGATAAAGGCCCTTCTAGCGTATTGTACACGAGCGTCTTCGTGACGCCATGGTGGAGAGTAAGGAGAGCAACTGGCAGTGGAGAACATTTGCGTTGAATGAACAGGGCAGAGCGCGTAAATAGAACATCACCGTCGGAAATAGCGTCACACGACACAGTCACCAGAAGAGAAGAGTGCGGTGGTACGGTGGTGTCGTCGGAAACAGACAGTTTATAATACAGCAGGGAGGCTTCGACAGCGTCAAACACAGGAAGTGCAGATAGCTCAAGTTCAGCGCGACAGCAGTCAATGACGGCATTATTATTCGCAAGGAAGTCCCAGCCGAGTATCATGTCATGGGAACACAAGGGCAGCACTACGAATTCGACGATATATACAATCCCTTCGATGACGACTCGTGTGGTACAGGCTGCGAGAGGTGTTACACTTTGTGCATTAGCCGTTCTAAGAGAGAGACCGGATAATGGCGTCAGAGCTTTGCGGAATTTGCGGCACAGGTTGATGGAAAGGACGGATAGAGCGGCTCAGGTGTCGACAAGCGCCATGACGACGATATCGTCGACTGACACTTCAATGACGTTAGCTGGACAGGGCCGAGGACTTGTGCATGGCGACGGGGACGCAGTTCGTGCCTCGGGAACTGCGGCCGTTAGTTTTCCTGGTCGGTGGGTTCGGAATGGCGACGCATAGGAAAAAGCGAACGTCGACGTGGAGATGGGGAGCGGCGGGTGGGACCGTGTGGACGATCAGAAGGAAAGGAAGAGGAAGGAGGGCTTGAAGGCATAGAAGAAAAATGAGGGTCGAAAGAGGGCATTCGTCGAATTTTCTGAGCAGCCTGGCGACGACGACAATAACGTGCCACGTGGCCAAAACCGCCACAATCAAAACATACCGGACGGTTTTCGTGGGTGCGCCATTGGTCGGAGTAGACTCCGGCTTACGGCTGGGGGCAGAAACTGCGGCCGAGGTGGTATCGGCATAGGCGGCGGTGAATAGGTCGGCGGCGAATACATAGGCGCTGGCTGGAACGCAGGCTGTCGAGGTCAAGCAACGGCCTCGGCGTGCGTGAGAGGTGCGGCGACTGGCGGTGGTTCACGGGCGGGAGGAAGAACTTGTGCGACCTGGTCTTGAATGAAGTCGCGGAGTGTAGACGTCAATCTGCGTGGTTGATCGGGTACGCAGGACATCAAAGAGAGCTGAGGAGTGACCTCAGCGCGGATGAACTCTTGGATCTTGAAGAGAAGAGGGGCGTGGTCTTCTCCTATGCCAAGGGTGGACAGGCTGGACAAAGAGTCGTCAAGCACTGAGGGACGTCGGGTGGAAAGACGTTGCCAGCGCAACTCGTCAAAACTCTGGCATAACTGGGTCATTCTAGGACAGTGTGAGGACTCCTAAAAAGCAACATTTGGAAAGCTTCGTCCTCAATGCCCTTCATGTTGTGGTTGATCTTAAGCTCTTTGGACATCGACTCATTGACTCGCTTGCAAAGGTCCAGAACGTCCTCAATATAGCTTTTGAAATTCTCACCTTGCTGCTGGGACCGAGTATGCAAGCGTTGTTCGGCACGGCGTTTGCGTACCTCCGGCCGTCCGAAAACTTGTGTGAGGCTCGTTTTGAAGACCGACCGTGTAGGGAGTTCCACTACGTGGTTTAAAAACCACAGCTTGGCCACGTCCGACAGGTAGAAGGAGACGTAAATCAACTTGGCGGCGTCATCCGATTTGTTGTGAGTACTTACTCGCTCGTACATTGAAATCCAGTCGTCAACGTCCTTGTCTTCTGTGCCCGAGAAAACAGGGGCATCTCGCAGACGCAGAGAACCGGCGCAGAGAGCAGTAGGTGGTGCCTGTGGAGGAGTTGGAGCGGCGCTTGCGTCGGTAGGCATAATGGATGGTAAAATGCGATTTCGAAGCTCCAGGGTGATCGAAACCCAGCAGACTCCACCACTTGTAACGGGGCTTATTTGTAGAGCACAACGCAAAGGCGAAGCAGTCAGCAGCGTCCGGCCAAGCGCAGCAAGCACGAGCTTATGATGATGGCGATGCCCCTGAGGCTATCATATACGGATGCTATCAAGCAGGCTTGAGCTAAAGCTGCCACCTTGCAGAGTATTAATGCATTGACAAAATTACACACGTTTTTAAAACACGATGACTTGGTTGTAGCTATGGCGCGTTTCCAGGGCAAATTGCTGAGGCTACGCAATATTTCACCCTACCGCTCTAAAAGGAGACAGGTCCCACGGACTATGAACTCTGAAAGGAAAAAGAAGGAGATAAAAGGCGCGTTCGCGAAGCCTCTTGCAAGTGCGTCAGCGGCGTAGTTGGCAAAATGCCCCTCACATTATGGCGGAACAAGAACTTACGGGTTTGAGTCTCTTAAACAGGTGTTTTAGATGCGGAAGCATCTTATACTCGCGCCTTGTAGTGCGCCGTCCGCGCCGTCCGCACCGCTTCTCGAACATTCGACAGCTGACGCGCGCGCATGCGCCGTCGCGCCGTCGCCCACCATCTGTGCCGCGCGCGCTTCTCCATCGAGAACATTCGACAGCTGACAGCGCATGCGCCGTCGCGCTGTATATATACTCAAGGTCGGCGCTCGCTCGCTCAGTTGCCGCTCGTCGGTTGGTTTGTACGGCGCGTCGACGTCCAAGGTCGCGGTGAAATGAATTCCAACGAATCCACAAATACAATGATCGACGTCCCTTCAACCAGCGCCGCCCTTTCGCATACGTGTGTACGTGTTCACTCATTTAACACCCCCTCCTACAACCACGTTAACCAATTTAGCCATCGACCCAAGTAAGTCGCAATTTAACACCCCATTTCACAACCACGTTAACCAATTTAGCCATCGACCCAAGTAAGTCGCACTTTAACACCCCGTTAACCAATTATATGCTCCGCATCCTCCTCAGTGTTCCCCCGAGGGAAGCTGCGGGCAATTTTTTTCAACTAGTTTTTCTTTGCCATGTAATATGCATTTCGATCACCTATTTATATAAGAAAAATACTTAATGAAAGCCGTGGTGGAACCGATTATAAAACACTAAAATCAGCGCTTTGGTTGATATCTTTACTATCGTACTTGGGAAGGCAGTAACAATGAATGATCAAGTCTAACACCCTTCTTGTCATGTTCGTTGCTTTTGAGCTACAGAGCGGGCACCTTCGTACCTTATCGTCAGTATCTACACAGATTATTTTCACTATGCTTACATGAGGTGAAAAGGTAAGATAAGTTTTGCATGCAAAACATTCTATAAAAATATTAAAACGGGCAAAGCAGTTGGCGGAGAATGTGTCGCAAAATGAAAAAAAAGAAACAGATAAGAGCAGCTGTCGTAACTCACTGCCACAGATACATGCGTACATTGTTAACCGCAGAGAGGCAAGCGTACTTCTGAGGTACAGGAAGGTACTCCCAGTTCATCTTGGTTCCCATGAGTGCTGGCGCGAACAGTGGCACCTTCGTTTTGAATGACAGAACCTTGTTCCATGGACAGATCATGGAGGCAATCTCCGATTCCCCAGCCTCGATCAACAGCACCGTCCTGTTCGGATCAGCAGATAGACGGTTGGCCAGTACGCATCCAGCAGAGCCTCCGCCTACTGTGAGACAATGTTAGAGGAAGAAAATTTGATGAAACTAAGCCGTGATTCATCGATTCTGAACATTTCATTATAAACTACAGTCGCGCGTTTTGATGAGGCTACCAAGTTTTAAAATATAACACTTATAACATTGAAAAGCTGGTGCCCCGTAATGTTTATGGTATCGTGATGTACAGTATACGTGATGTACCAGTGCTTCAAAACCTTCAAACGAGGGAGAAAAGCAATTGAGGCCACCGCACCCCGGCTGGCGACGCTAGTGGCCCAAGAGTGCTCGTATTACAGGACATGCCTGTAGTGCTCGGTATCGCCAGTTGCCGTACATGCTACCTTTAAGTAGGAGAGATGCGTATCTGTATTCGAAATGCCGCCAGCAACCACGCACTGCAGAGCAACTCATGCTTATGGCAATCATTGTATTCGCCACTGCCGCAGCAGGGAACTGGTTTGACAAGAGGGCGGGCTCCCACAGCGCCATCATTACACTCTTAATAGGCGTGTCTTCCCAAAGACCACTCTCGAGGCTTTGAAACTTTCCCATGTACGTATACCTTGGCCGAATCTCAGGGGTTTCTTCTTTCATCGCCAGTTGATATTTTAGGCTCATGCTTAAGCATTTCGCTTGCGAAATCAGAGCATGGCATGACCGCATTGCTGTGGTTCCTAGCAGGACCTATACGCAAAAGTGGTGCTACCTAAAGGTGGTACTTACAGTAAATATCAGTCATGCGCGGCCATCTTTTTTCACACTAATAAGAAATATCCTGTCTTTCATTCATTCTTTCCTTATGCTTTGATTTGATTATTACGTGAAGTTTAACGTCCCGAAACTACCATATGATTATGAGAGACGCCGTAGTGGAGGGCTGCAGAAATTTTGGGGCACTCGTGTGTTCTTACCGTGCACCCATATCTGAGCAGACGAGGCTACAGTATTTCTGCCTCCATCAAAAATGCAGCCGCCGATGCCGGGATTCAATCATACGACCAACAACGGGCAAGCAGCCGAGTACCTTAGCCACTAGATCACCACGGCAAGGCTCCTCATTCCTTCATTCTAAGATGAATTGGCTAGACCGTGTGGCGCTACACCCTCAAAATCTGAATGACTATCCCACACCCCACAAACTACGCTGACAACATTTCTCCACCACTCCTCCCGATTCGCTCACTTACCCGTCATTGCTTTCAGGTGTCTAACAACAGGCAGATATCTATGTCTCACTATTAACTTGTCTCACTATTAACAATCGAACATAATCACGTTAGTATATATTGATATGCGGCGTATACAGCGAATTATAATTCCGTCAGAACTCGTGGACATACGTGATCGAATGAGTGTGAGAAACACATTTGTCGTCGCAGTTGGAGCGAATTCAGCACTCCTAATTTGACCCACATTCTTGCAAACACGCCATTATTGTTGCTCTTCTTAAGGCATCTCTCATTTTACGGGAAGCCTTGTTATAAGATGGGGACGCGCAGCCTTTTTGGAACATGGTGCCATACGAGCTGGTCGTGTGTGGGAAACGCCTCCCAGAAATGGTCTTCGGTGAGCAATCGATCAACTGTGGGCGATTTTTCTAAGCTGGCGAAGCACGCACCTTTAAATGCTTGTGGTTCGTTTCAAGTGTGGGGAGAGAGCAAGCGGAGATTCACTCAACGAGAGGACAGGAAAAGCTTACTGATGGGTATGAGTGAACATTTTAATAGGCGGAAAATGCTTGTGGTGAACGCCACCAGTCCTACCGTTGAACAAGCGTTCTTAGGGAAAGGCTGTAATCGGGCGAAGTAAATGGACAATTTTGATGTCAGCGTCTTTCGATGGTTTTTTTGGACAATCGAATTTCCGACCAAGGTCAAGGTGGTGTAGCTTTTCGAAGAGAACAAGACGCTGAGAGTAGTGTCCACAACAAAAATTGGCAGATCGCACGTACAGTGGGAATCGAGGATATGCGGAGCACGAATGAGAAATGTTGATATGTCCCTTTAAAATCAGCACAGCGTTTCGAGCTGAAGGCAAATGATGCCGTAAATGACTTCCGTATCACGATCATCTAGTTTGGTTGTGTCATTTACCTTCGAAATCTATTCACGTCACGTGATACCAAAATTAGTATATGTGAAGCTAGCTAAACGGCCGCGAGCATGCTATGAGCGTGGTATGTTGTTATGTTCTTACATGAAACGCGTGTCAAGATTATCATGTTTGCACCAGTCATTTTCCGCAACCATTCATATCACGTAACAACAAGTTTGGTATATGCGGAGCTAGCGGAACGGCCGCGAGCTCATCATGAAGGGCTCAATATACTCCAATGTAGCGTTGACCTGTGCACATGCTGGGCATAGCGACGCTACTTTTGCGAAACGCGAGCACTGAATAGTTTGATGCCATGCGCGACCAGCGTCCGTCAGCGCGGCCCGACGGCAACCGGTGCGAAATGCAACGTGCTGCATTTCACGCCGATGCGTTACCCAGACAACACTGCGTCTCCCTCGTTTCGTGGCGGAGGGACCGTTCACTATGTTATTCTATGAAGGGACGCCGGACGCGCTAAAACGCGCATGCGCCAAAGCAGCGTGGCGCGCCAGCGAGTATATGGCAGGACCGGCGCCTGGCATGGCAACGCCGGCATGACGTGACGAAATGAACGCCGGTGAGCACGCGAACCGCGTCAAGTCGAAATGTATTGGCGCCTTGACTATGGCATGTAGTCTCGTTCTCACATGACACGCACCTCATGATTATCATGTTTGCACCAGTCACATACCTTCGTCATCCATTCACGCACCATAACACAAATTTGGTATATGTGGCACTAGTGAAACGTCCGCGAACACATCCAGAGTGTGGTATGTAGTTTCTTACAGCGCAACACCAGAAAAAAATACAAGACAGGGTAGGAGTAGAACAGAAAGAAAAGACGGCGCTAACAGCTTTGGTTTGTTTGCTTGATATGTGTTGCGTAACATCCCAAAACCACCATATGATTATGAGAGACGTCGTAGTGGAGAACTTCAGAAATTTCGACCACCTTTGGTTTTTTAACGTGCACCCAAGTCTGAGCACAGAAGCTTAGAGCCTTTTCGTCCCTAAGCCCCCGGTATACAATTCCCCGACCAGCTCTGCGAACAGTTTGTAGAGAAGTGGTTATTAGAAGAAAAAGAAGAGAAAAGTTAGCCCCGTAACCGTCTCTGCGTCAGGGTGCGACACCTCAACAGTAGCTAACAAGAGATGGGAGACTAAAGGTGTATATATATATATATATATATATATATATATATATATATATATATATAGTCAAGTAGATCCTTCGTGAGCGGTCACATATATATATATATATATATATATATATATATATATATATATAGTCAAGTAGATCCTTCGTGAGCGGTCACAACGTGGTTTATTTCGACGTTTCGGCCTAGCGTCTGGCATTCATCAATCCAGATGAAGGCCAGACTAGGCAGAAACGTCGAAATAATCCACGTTGTGACCGCTCACGGAGGATCGATCTACTTGACTATGCAACGCTACAGCCACACGACCTCACACACTGTGTGAGGTTGTGTGTGTGTGTGAGCCAACATACCTCACACACACACTATATATATATATATATATATATATATATATATATATATAATATATATATATATATATATATACATACATACATACATACATATATGTGCTGGGACAGCGAGCGAGGACATACAAAGGGATCGGAGAGATAGGAAAGATGGAAACACGGTCACGGTATTTATATGGTCCTAGTAATTTTTAATGGCACAGAAAATGTGCAAACGCTGACGATTCTTGAGCAAACCATGACTGAATTCGTTCCTGCGACAATTACCACCCGTTCAACTTGGCGCACGAATATCATTCAAAAGTAGAGCCAGCCATTGATATGTATTTTGGGCTACGCAGCGACCACTTCACCTGGGAATAATTGCGTCGCGAAGGTGGGACCCCCGCAGCATGCTCCGATCGAAGCAGACGACAAACGCGAGCAGACGATAAACACGAGGAGACGATAAACACGAGGAGACGACGGCTCGACCGACAGGCGCAGCTGGTGATTGGTTGTGAAGCAATCGTCTCAACATCAGCTCACTCCATGACGTTGCCGAAACACTTCTTTCATCTGGTACGCCTGTCGTGTTCACAATATCATCCCCTTTACACATAAAAGCAAATATTGTCACGCCGTGAGCAATGCTCAAGTACTTTGTAAGAGCTCTCTTACGTTCTGCGCAGTTGGCTAAAACAACATGACGCCGTAAACAGCGTATCGGTCTGTGCGAGTTTGAACAAACACCTCTCCCTTGAGTTCCTTCAGCGTTCAACTGGATGTGTTGTGGTTACCGCTGCTTTTTGGTGCTATTAAGCGGTGTTAAAACCAGCGGCAATGTATCGGTGTACGGTGAAGCGTAGAGCGAAGCCTGTGTCTGTGTGTTTGTCAAGTGAGATCGGCGCCTGTGTATCAACGGCAACTAGCACTCGAGAAGGTTGCAATGTGTCTTTGTGCACTGGTAACAGTTCGCTCGCTTCGCTTTCCAGTCTCTCATTGGGGTGCTGTGCAACATTTTGGCTTTACAGCGTTTTCGCACGTTGCTTGAGTGACTCCACGTGCGTACTGTAACGTACGAACTACGCGTTGTGTTCGGTTCTCGATTCGCCACTGGTTAGCCAGTGCGCTTCCGTTTTCTTGTGAGCAGTCCTGTGTTCGAGAGGGAAGCGATGTTCGTTATGAACATGATAGATTGATATGTGGGGTTTAACGTATCAAAACCACTCTATGATTATGAGAGACGCCGTAGTGGAGGGCTCCGGAAATTTCGACCACCTGGGGTTCTTTAACGTGCACCCAAATCTGAATACACGGGCCTACAACATTTCCGCCTCCATCGGAAATGCAGCCGCCGCAGCCGGGAATTGAGCCCGCGACCTGCGGGTCAGCAGCCGAGTACCTTAGCAATACTCC